ATCCTACTTGGCTTAGTAAATTATTTAATTACTGATTTTAGAACCTATGTGCATTTGCTTCTTTCACCGCCTTTAATTAAGAAAAATCTTGAAACAGGTTACGCAACGTGTCCACAATTAATAACGCTTTATTATTATTAAGAAAGTTAGGCCGAAGTTGCGCGAACGCATACTCCGATTTTGTTTTTTTAGAAAAAATCATAATTATGTTACGCGAACGTATACACAATCACAATAATAAGTTATAAGCATTATCTGGTGAAAGGAAACTACAAATAACCTAGGTAATTTAAGAAAAGCCAAATGAATTCTGCGCCCTATTACAGATTCTTAGCAGAAACTTCTTGTAACAAGTCTATTGTAAAGTAAAGGATCAAGTTACATATTCAACAATGTAATAACCTTTAGAAAACAAAAATGTTACACTCCAGGTGCATTCAATTTAACCACACTAAAAAAAATACTTTCTTGGATATACGATACTACACGACTACAAACTTGAAGTACTAAACAAAATCTTTATAGCTAACAATTGCAGATGTAGCTTTTCACCGTAAAATCAATAACATGCTCATTAGAAATGTGATATTGTATTCAACTTAAAATCACTCAAAAAAATATCAACACAAGTATTTTAACGAGGAAGAAGAGTAGGGTTCAATCAGTTGTATATGCATTTGATTTGTTTAGGCTACGTTTGGTTCTGATACTTCTCTGCAGAGTTTGTGGATTTTTCGTCTGCTTGGTCTTTAACCCCCATTCCCTGTGGTTCTGTCGGATTTTCTTTTATGTAGAACATCTCCAAGGGCTTGAATATGATCCTAAATGGGTGCTCCTTAAGCCTCTCCAAGTCCGATGGATCTGCATCATCAAGCAGTTCACTGCTGCTGCCTTATAAGGTTGTAACCTCATGTGTTAGACGTTCACCAGCACCTCATCGGTACTATCCGACATCCTGCTCCAAAGGTGTGTATGACATCTTTGTGCTGATCCTTTTGCGTGTCATTATTTTAATATGTATTTATGATTTATAATAAATGTGTTATTGAAATAGTGGTCGCTGTTGCATCATATGCAATAACTACAACAAACACTAGATTGATATTTCGTTTCTTAATGAGGGGGCGAACTCCTCAGCAGGCCATAGCTCTTTAGCTTGAGAAAGCTGGTTTTATCCAAAGAATAAATCTGATTTTTATGTTGGTTCTTTATAGCTCGTTTTGTTTCTATTTAATGAAGGTTTCAATCATTGGAATCTCCGCTCATTAAGTGCATTTGTTTTTTTCCCTTTTACAACCACTTCTTTTTTCTTAATTTGTATGATTCATTGACTTTCGATTAAAGATTCCTGTGAAGATGACATTTTATCACTAATCTATTCGTTACCACCGCATGATCATTAAAGACACAGTTCAATTAAAGATCCCAGTGCATTTTTCACTACTCTATCAAACTACCACTGTAGGACCACCACAATCACCAACCTTCACCGCTAGCCACCATGTCAACCACTACTACCACCAACTATCTTTATCACCAGTCACCACCACCACCAACTACCACCACTTCATAAGTTCTTAAAATGCATGTAAGGAAGTTAGGAAGTGGATTTAGCTGTGGTGGTGTGTCGTTATATTCTTAAAGGTGTATTCTTGTTTTGTCCGTCTTTAAGGAGAAATATGTAGTTGTTTTTTCCTCAAAGACTTCAAACTAAAAACTGAAATGGCTTGATTCCTTCTTGATGGTGTTGTTCGTTAGATATATGTATCGTTCCATTCACTTTTTCTACTGTTCTCATACACTTCAAACAGACAAATGTGCAAAGCTGGAATACTGTAAAAAGAAAATAGAGGACAAAGGGTGTATGGTAAGTCAAATGTAGTTCTTTTAGCTTTCCGTATTATAAGAAGCATGATAGAGAGAACAAAGTGGTCGATAGATACTTAAGCATTATATCTCAGCTCTACAAGCTCATAGTATAATTGATTTTTGCTGGCTCTAGTAGTTGATAGAATTTAAAGCTAGTTACACTTTTAAAGTTGAGTTGTCAGTGCAGGATTCAGCTTCCTTGATCTTTCTTCTGCATCATCACCTCTTTTCAGTGGTGAATATGGTGGCCTTTCGCACGCTTTACCCCAGTTACCAAGGCGAAGCCAATTTTCCCTTGCCCCTAGAGCGTCAAAAGATGTCCCATATAGTTACAGATTCCCTGCGATGACCACAAAGCCAAAGTGGTGGTGGAGAACCTTAGCATGCCTCCCTTATTTGATGCCTCTTCACGAGACCTGGATGTATGCTGAGACGGCATATCATCTCCACCCCTTTTTGGAAGATCTTGAGTTTCTGACATACCCTTTCCTGGGAGCAATTGGAAGATTACCAAGCTGGTTTCTAATGGCATACTTCTTTGTTGCTTATCTTGGTGTAGTGAGGAGAAAGGAATGGCCTCATTTCTTTAGGTTTCATGTGGTGATGGGGATGCTACTTGAGATTGCCCTACAGGTTATTGGGACTATAAGCCGCTGGATGCCACTTGCTGTGTACTGGGGCAAAGTTGGCATGCATTTTTGGACTGCCGTCGCATTTGCCTATCTGTTCACTGTTTTAGAGTGCATAAGATGCGCCCTCGCGGGGATGTATGCAGACATTCCATTTGTCTGTGATGCAGCTTATATTCAAATACCTTATGATTAATGGCTGCCAACATATGCTTCTTATGCCTTCTAGATAGAATATTGAGGCTGGATGGAACTGAAAATGATCAGTCTCTTTTGGATTGTAAAACTTAAATCTTTTATATGATGGACCTGTAAAACTAAATTTACGCCAGTGTTGTTCTTTCCTCTTCCATTCCTCAAAGGGATTGACTAAGTTCTCATTGTTGTCAAATTGGTTTTTTGTTTGTTCTCTTAATCTCAATTGCATTTATTCCGAGCATTCTAAATCCCTTTTACATTACTCTTTCTTTCTCTTATTTTTGCGTGCTCTGCGCTGTCTCTTCACTTCTTGTTCACTATCGAAGAAGCATGTAATCAAACAAGATCTCATAGAAAAGCAGCTTAAATCCTTTATAAATTGACTGAAGTAGTTCTTTCATTTGTACAAGAAAACTCTTGCCAGTAATATAATCCTTAAAATAAATATGCAGCTTGCCAACTATTGTCAACATTTAAATCTCATTTGGCTTTAACAAAATTTTGCTAAATAGTGAAGGATAATTTCCAAAATAATTGACCATTATCTTTGCATAAATCTGATGCAGAAACCGTGTCAACTTCTAAGATAACTTGCTGTATTGTACTAAAACTGATTCGAAATGGAACAAGATTTGTAAGTAACTAACATGCCCTTCAACTTCGTGAGTTATTGGTGAGTAATCTTTAATTCATGCGTAAAATGATGATACGAATCTAAAATGCGGAAGACAAGAAATTAAAGATAAAGGATAGAATTTGAGAATAGAGCCAACAAAGTATTAGTTGCAAAACAATTGATAAACTTCAATCACCCAATAATTACATAAGAAAGTGAACCTAAACTATAGGAATACCTTCAAGTGGAAGCCTGATTCCACTTGAAAAACACACCTTGAATAAGTTATCGTCAACAATGGCAAACCACCATTACACCTCTCAAAAGAATATTCATCATTCATCAAAATTAGTCTCTATAAAATGATAGCCTTAAAGAGTGCTTTATACTAGATTGAGTACTTGACTTCAATACCCCAAAGCTGATTCTAAGGAACTAAGTGTAGTCACTTACTACAAGTATAGCCACCAATTACATGTAGTCTTCAATTGATGACAAATTACACACATAGTCTCCAGTTGCGAAAGTAGCCATTATTGACATTTAAGGAGCATGTTGGCTATCTTGGATCGTATCATCCTCCCCTTCTTGAAAAGAATTCGTCCTCGAATTCGAACCTTGAAAACATGGAAAGGAATGAGGAAAAGTATAGACTCGTCAAGAGGCAAATATATGCATGGTAATGATAAAACAAGAAAGTGCCTATCCATTTTTTTGACCCAATTCTTCCTAATAGGCATAAAGACTCCTCTAAGAATCATGTACAAAACATCATCACATGGACTCATAAAATCTCCCAAGTAAGCACAAAGTATGACTCTTATGAACTTAACAAATAAGGAAAATGAATTAGGTAGTCCAAAAATAGAACCATACCACATGTATAGAGCATATTTGGATCTACCAACTCTCTTATAATTCAAAGTCACTTCATGCCAAGAGTCATAATAATTAAGCTCAAATTTTCATAAAGACCTTTTAACACCAAAAAACAAAACATCAAGCATTTCATGCTTAATTGTGCATAGTAAAGACACATCACAATAAGACTCATGCACCATTTTAAACCAAAGACCTCTACCACTTGTATAAAAGTGAACACTCTTGAAGTATACCAAGCATCCTTAAGAACAACAAAGAACACATTTTCAAACAACATAATATGCACTTGGCTCAAACGCAAACCACAATCATAGAGTTAATCACTAGGATCAAGCACAAATGTTATTCCCACATCATCTCTATGTTGATCACTTGGAAACTCACAACATGAATATAATAGCAACATCAACAAATCATAGTCAATAAATACAGGCTTGCTACAATAAAAGTCAAGGGTATAGCCAATTACCCCCATGGCTTTAGAAAGCCTAAAAATAAGCACTAACCAATCAAACATACCATTATTGCCTTGGATAAGCATTAAAGTTTCAAAACCTTTTGTTGACCCAAATGGTAGTGTCAGACATCTATCTCTCTTATGGTTTCTCGACGCAATTTATTGTCTACAAATTTTGGCACGCCTAGTGGGACAATCTCTACCTCTCATATCAAATTTTCAATCACCAAAGTCCAAAAACATCTAAATGGCTTCAAAGAAAAATAATTCCAGATCAATATCCACCAAGGCTGCTAACTCCAGGTTCTATGCTGATGTGGTAAGCATCCTCGATGTTACCTTTGAAAGCTTTGGACCAGTTACGAGGAGCAAATCAAGCTCTTTAGGACAACAAGCACTCCAAGTGTCTTCCGCTTCAACTCCTGTTTTCGGATCTTCATCCTCAAAAGGAGCAATATCCTCTACGAACGTACTCGAAGGAGGAAGCGATATTGTTGAAAAGATCAAGAAAACTCTAGCTCTCCGGATCCAAGAACTCTGTTGTGAAGGAAGATGATAATATTTCAAGTGATGGATCTTCCCCACGTATACCGCATAACGTGAGCCATTCGAGAATCAATTTGTGGAACAATCCATGCTACTTCACATCATCCACAACATTCATGCAAGCCATGGTGACAAACATTTCATCTGTAGAAGAGCAGTTAGCAAACTTGACATCAATCGCTGGCTTGACAAAGTGTATGCAAAATCAAGATGCTAGAATTGATAAACTAACAGACATTGTGGAAATTTGATGGAAGAAGAATCCACCAATACACCTGGAAAGCTCCCAAAAGTTCCGGAGAGTAATTCTCCCCCCAAGACAAGTAACATCCGCTAAGGCTATTCCTGCCTCATCTGAAGGGATGATTCAATCGATCAAGTGAAAAAGTTCATTGAAGGAACTATTAAAAACAATACCAAGTCCTCTCTTACATACACAAATCCATATACTGCAAGGATCGATATGTTGAAGATGTCTGATGGATACCAACCTCCAAAGTTTCAACAATTTAATGGAAAAGGCAATCCAAAGCAACATGTGGCACACTTCGTTGAGGCATGCAACAATGCTGGGACTTATGGAGATTACCTCGTTAAGTAGTTTGTTTGCTCGCTAAAAAGAAATGATTTTGATTGGTGTACAGAACTCGAGGAGGGATCTATTGATAGCTGGGATCAACTAGAGCAAGAGTTCCTCAATCGCTTTATAGTACAAGACACACTATGAGCATGGTGGAACTTACAAATACTCGTCAATGGAAAAGTGAACCACTTATCGAATCTATTAATCGTTGGAAGAATGCAAGCCTCGAATGCAAGACAGGCTTAGTGAAGCTTCAGGCATAGAGATGTGCATCCAAGGCATGCATTGGGGAATGCACTACATCTTGCAAGGTATCAATCCTAGCACTGTTGAATAACTTGCAAACCATGCCCATGACATAGAGTTGAGCATGGCCTCCGCTGGAAATGAAAGGCTGCCTATCTATGAGCCTCGCAAAGGGAACGAGAAGCAAGAAGTCAGGAAATGGAGCAAGTTTGTACCCAAGTCTGAAAACAAAGAAGCTATGAATGTCAACACATCATACATGAAGTTCACAGCGAAGATGAGCAACAAGCAGAATACGAAGTCCACTTCTTTTCAAGATAAGCCAAGTGGAAAGTTGACTCTAAAAGAAATGCAAGAGAAGGAGTACCAATTTTTGGACTCTGATGTGCCCAGCTATTTTCGAAGAACTACTCAAGCTAAATCTCATTGAGATTATGAAGATTAAGCGACCAAATGAAGCTGGAAAAATGAATGACCTGAATTACTGCAAATATCACCGACTTGTAAGCCATCCTCTGGAGAAGTGCTTTGTCTTCAAGGACAAAGTTATGGACTTGGCCCGTGGAAAGATGATCGTGCTTGAAGATGAGAAGGCAAGTGTGAACCGTCTCTATCACCTTTGGCTCATCCAGTCTAGATGAGCTATACAGTTTAAAATAAATTAATGATGAAGAACTACTAGAGAATAACAAAGTTGAAGTAGACAACCATGATGATGATGAAGGTTGAAAGTTGGTGACTCGCTGTAGGCGCCACAAAAGAAGCCCACGAAAAGAATCAATGGTACAACCAACAAGGAAACTGATGGTTAAAAGACCAAGGAGATGGAATCCAGTTAAGAATTTGAAGAAAGCAAAAGTGGAGGTGCACCATCCTCAAAAGCCACGGCATCCGGTGACTTTAGAGGAGTTCTTACCAAGTTGGTTCCGCATGAATATTTCCCATGGTGATATTGATGCCACTTGTTTCCATTATGACAAAGGGGAAGAAAAGAGTGATGACCTACCATTGGCACCATCTTCAGAAAAGCTCATCGAGTACATTCCGCAAGAACTTAATGCTTGTGAGAAAAAGTTACATTCACGAATGACGATCTTCTACTAGGTAATACTCCTTACAAACTCCCATTATGCATAGTTGGCTATATGCGCAATAAAAGAATAAATCAAATTTCGGTCGATCGAGGATCCTTTGTGAACATCTTGCCAATTCGCACTGTGAGACAACTCGGTATTCCCTTGAACGAACTCTCGAAAAGTCGTGTGATAATTCAAGTATTCAACCAACAAGGAAAAAGAGCCATAGGCACGATAAGGTTGGGGATCTCCATTGAAGATATGCAATCAAGTGCATGGCTGCATGTGATCAATGCAAAGACTTCATACAATGTCTTGCTCGGAAGGCCTTGGATACATGAGATTAAAGTGGTTCCATCTACCTACCATCAATGTTAGAAGTACAACAAGGATGAAGTCGAGAAGAAGATAGTTGCTGATGATGAGTCATTCGCTGAGGCTGAGTCACACTTTGTCGATGTGAAGTTCTAATTGAAGAACCGCATTGTGAAGGAGCAAAAAGATGATGATGTCAGTAATGGAAAGAATGACGAGTCCACAACTAAGAGAGTTGAGGTGGTTTCCAACAAAACCAAAGTTGTTGCTGAGGAGGTACATCCTAACCCAAATAAATCTCATAAAGGGAACATTGTGGCTCACGACAAAAAAGTAACTTTTGTGCTCCAATATATCCCTGGAAAGAAGAAAGATGGAGGTGAATCATCTAATCTCCAAACAAACCTACAAAAGGGGTTAACTCTTCCGATCAAACGGATTGAAGCGATAAAGTTGTCCTCGAAGCTACTTAAGTTTGTGTCTCAGAATTCGCCACAAGATACAGCACATCGTACAAAGC